TTGATGTCCCCCTGCCATGAGGTGCATGGGGGCAGTCAGCTGACCAATGTCCCACTTGGTAGCACTTTGGACATGGCCCTGGTGGCCCATGTGGGGCAGGGCAAGTATGCGCTCAATGGCCTTCTCGACCACATTTAAAACAAGGACCTGGGGGCCCTCGGGTGGCCAGCCAGACGGCTGTGGCCAGCATTTGGTATTTCTATTTACATGCTTCCTCATCTTCCCCCTGGGTACACCTTAAAAGCCAGCGCTAAGACTTCTGCCTGTGGGGTCATGGGCCCCTCTCTCCAGATGCCTAAAATTTAGCCCCAATGTTGGGGAAGCTCTGCAAAACGAAATGGGTCATAAGGAGCTGTCTGCCCTCTGGGCTCTCAGGATCTAGATTAGTACACTGTAAGAGGGCCTTTGTAAGTCCTTCTAGAAATTGAGACGGATTCTCTTGTCTGTCCTAAACTATGTCTTGTAGCTTTTCACAGTTTACTGGTTTGAGGGCAGCCTTAGGAAGACCTGCTGGGAGGCAGGTAGTAAACTGATTCTCAACTAGGGAGCCACCTGGGGTGTTATAATCCCACCATGGATCCTGATCCAGGACTGCCTCAGCTCAGGGAGGATGTACTGCAAAGGGCGGGTCAGAATACTAACACTGGTTTCTAAGGGGCGGGTCAGAATACTAACATTGGTTTCTAAGGAGCGGGTCAAAATACTAACACAGTCCTTTATTGGCTTTTTGAGGTCTCTTATATGGGGAAAGGTTAAGGTTAATAGAAAACAACTGTAAGCATGTTTACAGGGGTGGGATAATTGGCTGCTAGAAAAAAATACAATGAAAGGTAAGAATAAAAGCAAGAATATACATCATGTGGAAGGAGAGTCCCATATGATGGGGTGGTGGTCATGGGTATAGATCAGAGTATCTTGAAAACATATTTTGTAAGGCAAAGGGCAGTCATACATCATGGGATCATGAGTTCAGAGCAGGTTGAAAAACATGTTTTGCAGGGTCCATTAGGTTTAGGAAACAGAAACTTATTTTTGTAAGGTACAGGGACTTAAAGTGGCTTCTGGTTCTAGTTTCATACTGTACCACTGTACATTTCTAACTCTATCAAAAAGTTCCAGTCCCTGGTGACTAACTATTCAAATATATGAGTCTTTAAGTGGGTGTGTGTAGATGTAACCAACTGTCTTATTAAATAAGAAACACAAAGCCAATACAGAGATGAAAGCCAAGAGGTCAGAGCAATAGCTAAAAGCTAAAAAAACCTTACCCTTCACTGTCACTGTTGCCCTACCTCTCAGAAAGAGAGCTACTTCCTGTGTGTCTGTCTTTTTATAGTGTTTCTGTTCTGCCTTCTCATTGGTTGTAAACCCAACCACATGACCTCCTTGTCACTGCCTGTCTGTACAGACCTCCAGGTCTTCTATGGTTGGTATTGAGATTAAAGGTGTGTGTCTCCATGCTGGCTGTATCCTTGAACACGCAGAGATCTGCTTAGCTCTGCCTCCCAAAAGCTGGGATTAAAGGTGTGCGCCACCACCGCCCAGCTTTTGCTAAGGCTTGCTATTAGCTCTGACCCCCAGGCAATTTTATTTATTAACATACAAATCACATTTTAGTACAAATAAAATATCACCATAGGTGTGGTGGGGACATTCTTATTCAAACCACCACGGAAGTCAAGGCAGGAACGTGGGGCAGAAATCATGGAGGAATGCCTTTTGCTAGCTCCCTGTGGCTCATGCTCAGCTAGCTTGCTTTTATAACCTAGAACCCTAGGACCACCTGCCCAGGGATGGCACTCCTACATCAATTAAAAATCAAGACAATCTTCCATAGGTATAGTCACAAGCCAATCTGATCTGGGTAACCCCTCACTTGAGACGATCTTCCCACAGGTGACTCTTGGTTGTATCAAGTTGATACTGAAATCTAACTGGGACAGAATCATACTTGAGAGTTCATATTAATACAACCAACACCTTGGATGTATCCAGCACCGCCTCCTGATTGGTCAGGTCCCATTGGATTTTTAGAGAGCAGTGTGGTCTGGGTAATCTATGCTGTGTCCTTAGACCTCTTTCCATGGGGAGGAAGAGAGAAAAGGGTGTTGCAAGGGCAGGGGGCAGGATACGGTTCAGGCACCACGTCTCCCTCACCTCGAATGACCCATCATGACCATCAGGTCTCGGGAGCTCATCTGCTATGGACACAACTGCATTTGGGACTTACTTCCATCTCTTGCCACCTTGTGTTTTTCATCTGGGCCTTGAACTTGACCATCTTCTGCCTCAGTTTTTCTGAGTGCTGGGAGTACAGGTGTTATACAAAGGGACTTTAAATATTAAATTATCTCCAGGTTTGAGCTCCTTCTGTTACCCCAATATATTTAAAAAATCCCAGCACTCGGGAGGCAGAGCCAGGCAGATCTCTGTGAGTTCGAGGCCAGCCTGGGCTACCAAGTGAGTTCCAGGAAAGGCACAAAGCTACA